CCAAGTTTTAGTTCAATTTTAATAGGTGGAATATTGCGGGCCAGTCCTGGTGGGTTGTTCTCTGCCCAAACTCCTGGTATGTTAAATAAGGATTCATCACTCCTCGGGTTTTGGCTAGTCAACACTGTATAAAGTCGCCACTCTTCTTCCTTTGGTACGGATAATGTCATAATACCTGAGGGTCCATTAAACTTTAAGGATGTTGTTCCATTTGGTAGGAACGTAATCTACGCTTGTAATTTGGATAGCATATCACGTCCCAGCAATTGGACTGGACACTCAGGCATATAAAGGAATTGATGTTTTACTACGTGGCCTCCCAATGTACAGAGTCGACTTTTAAGAACCGTTTTTTCAGCACTTCTTCCAGTTGCTCCTATTACAGTAATAGTTCTTCCAGATGGAGGAGCAACTTGATTAGTCACCACCGAATGTTCAGCACCAGTGTCGATCATAAACACACTCCTTTTTCCCCCTATTGATACATCGACCATAGGCTCCGCTCGACCAAGGGGGATGGAGCCCGGTCGGTATCAATAGTCCTCCATGACCGTGTCAGCCAATCCCACAAAGTCCCTACCTTCTCTATCGCGGGACCTTTGCGCTGCTGGATAGTACTTATCTTCCCTTACACTTCCTCTGTTCCCATTACTCCCTCTATTACCATTACTCCCTCCGGGGCCTCCTCTACCCCTCGCTCTGCCTCTAAAGTTTCCGTAACCTGCCCTGGGTAAGTCTCTCTCATACTGCTCTCTTTGCGGACACTCGTTCCTCCAATGCCCTTCTTCCTTACAGTACGCGCACTGATTCCTACTCAAAGGCTCCCTATTCCATCTACCATCGCTTCTATCTGGGCCCCGTCTATCTACGCCTGCGATCGCTACCGCTAGCATATCTGCCTTTCTACGCATCTTGCGCTCTTCCTCTTTCTTACTTTCTGTTTCCCTATTCATATACTTTGTTCGCTACCTCCATTAGTTGGGTGATAGACATACCTGCAAACCCTTCTAATTTCTGTAGCTTGCGCTTAATATCTCCGTAAGCTTGGCTGACAAAGGCGGAGTTTACCATTCGGGAATTATCAGCGCCTTCCGGATTAAAGGGGGTATACAAGCGGTATGCCTCCAATAATCGGTCATAAAAGACACTGGGCGCTTCATCACTTTTCTGAATCACCTCAACTGTCTTCGACATGTTAATAGCTTCCTTCCCTCCGGCTTTCATGCCAGCAATTATAGCATCTCTATAGGCTTTAAGTTGAGCCATATCTGCGCCATTTACATTCCAGTCAGGATCGGTGTTAGGGTAATGTGTTGCGGCTCATGCTGCCGGATTGGCTTGATTTAAAGCACGGGCTCTCTCCTCTAGCGCCTTAATGGCCGCTTGGTTAATCCTTGTCCTTTCCTCATTATTGAACAATGTCATTAATAACTGCTGGCAATCAGCCTATGTCGGGTTATGTGTCTGAACTATCGAGGTGAACAGATCGGTCATAGCTTGTGGTTTCTCAGTGTACGAGGAATTGTGGGTCTTCCAATTCAAGAGATCGGTAGTCGTGAACGGGACATATACGAAGACTGGGTCAGCATGTGCCATTTGACCTGCGGCATCGATATAGGTTGACCCAGGATTCAGACGAAGAGGCATCTGATAATGTTTTAATTGTTGGGTACCGGTCAGTTGTCGGGTTAGTATGGGGCTACGTGGAGGGGCGTCAGTTAAAGGTTCCGGTCGAGAGGTAATAGGGCATGAGGATGTGGGAACTTGATTTTGGGATAAGTTAGTGAATAGTATACTCCGAGCCGAGCTAGAAGAAGCTTGACCGGAAGTTTGAAGTGGCGCCAAATCAGGATATTCAAATCTAATGGGGGTTGGTCCTGGTTCCGGAAGGGGAGTTTTAATACGAGGGGCGGTGGATTCTGTACTGGAGGAGGAAGCGGAAGTGGATGGGGGCAATAGGGGAAGGGGTGCAGAGCTTCCTGCATTCGCGTCACTTCCTCTTAAAGGAAAGTAAGGAGGCGGCAAAGGGATCTCGGACTCAGGGGGCGTGTCCAAAATGGGCCTAACACCAGTCCTAGTGGGCAAACAAGTCCTGGCCACCATGAGGCGACATTGCTCCTCGTGGCATATCCGAATCCATTTTGGCGAGTCGTTTACGGCCTGCCCCCAACAATCAATGTATGTAAACTGTCCGTAAAGTTCAGGCCTACCTGACACAGCCACGTGTACACGCTGTACCAGGGTTGGATCCAAACTGCCACGCGGCGGCCATGCCGCAACCAAAATAGGCCACTCCCTAGTGCACAAAGTGACCAAACGTACAGGAGACATTTTAACCCCAAAATCACATGTTTTGAATCCCTTTTAAAATTCTTTACCATACAACCTAAGG